TATATATATATATATATATATATATATATATATATATGCAATTTTCTTTATGGAGACTAGACTATTGAACAAAGTTTGACATATTTTTAACAGACCAAGCATTTGATTCCTATATTATATAAAGAAAGAGCATTTATGGAGAAAATCTGAGAAACACCTGCTTTATTTGGAGTGACTTTATCAGATTTACTTCTTGCAAAATCTGGAACTGCTCCATTATGCATGATCTTCTAATTCAGAAATAGAGTTTTCTGTCCTCTTAATAGACTAGAACATTTACGTTACCCCATGATTGAATTTTAAGATGTGTTTACTTCAGGGATAGGAGTATTGAGCAACTACCATTTGAAGGACTTCTTGCCATTGTGTAGCACTTTGATAATTTTCTATCCTGTGATGCTTAGCATTTATTTATTATATTTATGAATGTCTATAAAAGAGTGACCTAAAGATAATTGTGCATTGTTTTAATAAGGCATTTGGGATATTTCTGAAAGAATATTTCTTTCTTAATGGAGAGAAACAGCTGCTAATTAAAAGTCCAAATGAAGTTACTTCTTGAAAGAATTGCTTATCAGTATCAACAAGAGAAGTTTAGAAAAACTGATTATCTAGTTCCAAAGCAGATTCTGTTTAACATAAGGATGTATTCACAGATTTCTGACTTCATGAAATCACTCCACTTTCTCATAACAGTTTTCTATTAAATTGACCTCCTGCCCTTAAACAGCTTTGAACATCTGATCCAGCGTATATATTTCATATATTCTGCCATGTGTAGCAATTCAGAGTTACAGGCTTCCTAACTTAATTGATTTTACAGCTCTGAATTTTGGAAAAGCTGAAACATTTAGGGCAAAAAATAAACTGGATGTCACAATAAGTTGTTAAACAGCAGTTAAACAGGTGAAAGTTTAAAATATTCAATCTATATTTTATAACACAAAACAAATTAATGAATTTTTGGAAACTTTTGTTAGTTTAGTTGTTCAGATATTGCCCTAATGGGTTTTACACTTTCTTAAATCTTTCCTTTTACCTTGTTATTCCATGCCACAACAGTATGCTCATCTGGAATGTTTCTTTAAAAATGTCTGTAGAAAGAAACATTTTTGATCTTGCAGACAGTAAATCAAATGAGTAATGGTTTTAGCTGGCTGGCAAATGTTCTCCACCTGAGATGGTACTCAATTTGATTTACATAGTATTGGGAAATGCGTGTCTCTTGCAGCCCTTTTGAAGGGTTACTCAACATGGAACAAGTGCTTGGAAAAACGGCAGACTTCTCTCTCCCTTCCTTTTTGGGGTAGATG